GGAGATGGACGAGGACCAGCCGTTCCAGTGTCTTCATCAGGTGCGATGTCAGCGCCACTGGCCTGTAGCTGTTGAGGTCTTTCGGGTGCGGCGTCTTTGGCACCGGCACCACGCAGGATGTTTTCCACAGTTGTGGAACTCTCCCCAGCTTCAGGCTCAGGTTGAAGACGTGCTCCACAATCCCACAGAGTTGGTCTGCGCAGGACTTGAGGAGCCTGGAACTGATGCCGTCCGGACCTGCAGCCTTTTTCACCTTGATCTTCCTGAGCTCTTATTATAGTACTGCACTTCACAGAGCACACTGTGGGGCAAATCTTGTTGTTCTCAAAAAGGCTGTTTGGACATCCTAAGATTAATGTTCGGTTAAAGAGAGTGATTTGTGAAGTGTGCGCACACGTGTATGATAAAAGCTTCTTGTACAGACATTTATTTGCTTGTAAACATTCAAACTAAAGTGAACAAGTCTGAGCAGAAAACTCTTAATATTTTGTGAATCTGTTTTTACCGTCCACACAGACGGTCAAACGTCATAGTGTCAGCTCCACTTGTGGCATACAATGTAGTTCTCTCTCCCAGCCAACTTATCCTTCACACTTTAGTCTGTGTACCTGTCACTCTGTATCTGATGATTCAGACAACAACTATTATTATTATATGAATTGTTGCTGTGAACATCAATACCATCTTTACGTTCATAATTATGACTGGTATTGTTTTCATTGTAACTATGCCTAGTTATAATGAAAACAATAACACTTGTTTTCCACCCATCTCTCCTCTCTTCCCGATTTTTCTCTGTTCACCCCAACCGAGATCTGGGATCTATAAATATGCCAATATGGCCCCACTCCTGCTCCTTGTTTCTCCACCCTCACAGCTCACCTGCAGTTCAGGAGCCTTTACCTGCTACTGAGCTCCACCCACAAGCTGACAGGAATTGTTCATTAAGATTAAGGGGGAAATACTCTGCCACGAAGCTAACTGCTTATTTCCCTCAAATGATGTCTTTTATCATACGAGAAGGCACACAGGGAGACATGTTTAACCATGTTTTAAAACTTGATTATCACCAGAGGTGGAATTTCAGGTCACCTCATAAATTAACTGGAATATACAGCAGTTTCAAATCTTACCATCTCTACATCCAGAATGCGGTCCTGTAAAAAGGCACAAACACATTGATATTACTTTGTATGCATAAACAAACAAAGAAAGACGCAATGCTAACAAAATGAGCTGGTAGTAGTTGCAAGACAATGAGTCCAGGTAACTGCTCAAAATGGTGGATTAGCAAAGAGAAAGCAAGCGTATGTGTGTGTGGGAGACAAGTGACAGAGGAGAGGAATAGTGTACCAACAAATGGGTAACAAGGGAGGAAAATGCAGGAGCTTGTGAGAGTCTGGAGCACACAACAGGCTTCTTATCACAATTACTGACACACGCACACACAAAGACAAACTGCTCTCGTCGCTCCTCCAGCTCCTGACTGATGTTCTCTCTCTAACGATACATAAGTGATGCTATGCCTCTTATCTGCCACTCAAACACACACCTGCGCTCCGTCCCCCAACCGGCTGCCTCAACCTCCTCTGCCTGTAATGTGTTGATGGTTTGTAACGAGGGTACTTTCTTTTCTTCTGCCCACCCCCCCAACTGTTCTTTTTTCGTCTGCATCCCTCACTATCTGTCTTCCCTCGCTACATCTCTCTCTCCTCATCCTTCATAATTAAAAGCTCGGCTGGGTCTAAGAGGGCTGATTAATTACACACAAGCTCTGGCAGGTGCCATTGTGCAGCCACAGATGGGACCCTGCGAACCAACACACACACACGTGCACGCTCAAGCAGGCAGAGAAGCCCAATTGGAAACTGCGATTGCTTAGCAGACATTTCAGTGTGTGTCTGTGTGTGTGCGCATGTGTTTTGCTGTTTAATGTTGAGTAAAGGGCCAGTGAGACGCTGGGGGCCAGTCCGCTCCAGACTAGGTGAATTGGTGGCCTGCCAAGCGTAGATGCTGCAGTTCTGAAAGACAGAGACGAGGCCTCTGGTGGCTTTTAAACTCCAAGGCCTCATGTCTGCAGTAATTAGCTACTTGTTCAAGCAAGGCTGCAGGGAGTCTGTCAGGCCCACGGCTGTGTACTGCTGTTTGTAACACCGTATCACAGAACTCAGATGACTGAAGGCCAGCACTTACTCAAAAACAAAAACTAAATGGATATGCAAAGAAGAAAAAGAATTTGGAGCCAAAATGGTGTATCAACAAAAAGAGTACCAGCTGTCGTGCCAGTGAAATTAGGCCACATAATAAAAATCTACGACCTAAAGTGAAGGTTAACAAATGCGGACAAATGGATTAGTTTAGACAAATTAGTCTGACCTGAAGGCTCCTCATTTCTTCCTCCTTCCGGCGACTCCTCTCCAACAGCTCTGAAATGAGAGTAACTGTGTAAGAAAAGAGGTTGCTGATGATGAAGTGATTTGGGATAACACAAGAAAATTCCTTCTCCAATCTAAAAATAGGGTAAGTGATATGTTAATAAAAAAATGCATATGTTAAATGATCTGAATGCACTGCTGGCTATATTTAACCTTTTCGGGAATGTGTTCCATCTATGGCAGGTGTCATGTATACTTTTAATATTTAAATGTGTGTAATATGTAACATATGCAAAAGCAGCACAACTATTCAAACAGTCAGTCACATATTGAACACCTTACAGATGTTCTTTAAACAGTTATTTCACCTCATCCACCTCACCTTGGGCTTTGAGGCATAGTGATTCGATATTATAGAGCAGAAGTCAATAATAGGCAGACTGTGGCACAGATCCGGGTGAAGACTCCGTCCTATCTGGACCTATAAACTATAAATCATCAAGAATGGTCCAATTTTGACGGATCTGGTCTGCCTTGTTTTACAGCAGTGGTTTAGCGGCCCCAGAAACTCACAGACCAATTGCATGCATTGTGAATCATCTCACATGATGCCACTCAGCCAATCAAATCAGTGGGGGCGGCTGTGACTCAGGAGGAAGGAGGGTCATCCACTAAACCATAAGGTGGTTTGATCAAAGGCTGCATTCCAAGCAAGACACCAAGTAAATTGCCCCTGACGGCTGTGCTGGCAGTGTGTTAATGGTATGTGATAGAAAAACTGTATTAATGTATGCCTTTGACTATGACTTCTAAAGCCCTTTGAGTCGTCGACAAGACTGGAGAAGCTTTATCTAGCTACAGTCCATTTATGTCTCATTTGTAAGATGCCGTATGTGATTGTTAAAAGCAGCAATGTGATACAACGCTACACCAGTGCGAGTCTTGACAAGACAAGCTAGAGCTCACTTCTCCCACTGAACAAGAAGAGTGGGGGTGGAATAAAAAAGGGAAGAGAAGAGAAAAGCAGGTGATAAAGAGATTCAACTGTCAAGACGAGCATAAATTGTTAGAAATTTGCTTGAGACTGTTGGTTAAAATTAGCAAACAAAAGAACAAAAAGCTCACGCTTTTTATTAAATGTTTTTTTAAATGTGCATTAAAAAAAATTATTTTTGCATTTCATTTTGTCATTGATATGAAAATAGCTTCTTTATCTTTATTTAATGTCTTACTTATAATCCCTTAGGTCAATGTGAAAACACACAATCTGAATTGTAAAATATTGCTGCAGTATACTTTCTTTGATTTCTCAGTTAGTTGTTGATGCATCTAATACTTCAATATATATTGCACTGAATCATAATGTTAGGCATTATCATGCCCTTTGCTTGAGGAACTGGACCTCTCTGAGTTTTAATTGAATACCCCTCTGCTAGAGGATGATTTTTGTTGATTGCAGCAACAAAATGTTTTATTTACAATTACTGGTTTGCGAAGTCTATTCATGAAGTTTACCTCTTCTGGTAACCAATATCTACTGTAAATAATTGCAAACTGCAACAAACTGCTGCACCATTTATAACGATTTCAAACAGTTCTCAGCCTTGAGAACTGAACATCAAACATATCTCTATCATAATGTAAGAAGCTCTCCACTGACACATACCTGTACACAGCAATAAAATGATCTAATTTGAAAGCATAATGCCAAACAGTCTATAAACCTCCAGCAAAGGTATTGCTAGAATTGCACTTCTGACTGCCTCGCCCTCTGTCTCGTAATGTATTCTCGAGTTCAATATCCAATTACCTGAGGACGACTGAATCTCCTCCTCATCAAGCATGTGTTCATGTAAACACATATACATCTCACTATACTGGAAAACCTTCTTGATAGAAACACTTGAAAACACCTCCAGTGTCTCAAACCGTTGATTGTAGCTGTGAAAACATAACCTGAAGTCAGCAGAAGAGAGGTGCTGCTTAAGTGCTAACCTCAGACTTAAACCCAGTCAGAACTAGCCTACTGAAAAAACTGAAGTTGGTCCTATGACACTAAAAACTGCTGTTAGATACACCTGCAGAGTGGAGCTGTTTAATAAGGGCTAAAAAGAACACAACTCAGAGGTCTGTGGGGAAAATACACATACTTAAATGTGAGCCAATTACAGTAGGTCATACAATGGCTCGGCAGACTGCATTGACCTTTCAGAAAATCCTTACAAAAATATATTAAACCTGGAGCCAGACCGACCAACTACCAAGACGAATCGTGACCATAAAACATTTGATTCAGAGCAAAAAATTATATTGGAAAGTGGAAAAAAGGTAAATGCACAAGACTGTCTACTACTACATGGTTATATAACGAGGGAAGACACTACACATCCCAATGATGAATGATCATACAGAGATTCTGCTTGATGTTAAAAGAGTTTGGCAATATATTGTACTTTGTATCTTGTATGTATGAATAACTTTTCATCTTAAGAGTAGTAAAGTAACCTAGTGTAGTATTGTTCAACAATTCTATTGTATCAAGCGCTGCTTCTTTTTCTCAATACATCGTTGGTTTCATTCAGACATGGCTTCTACATAAAGCATAGAACAATCTCATAGCTTGTGGTAAGTCTACATGGATCGTTACAATATTATGGCTGATAATCAAAATCTCTTTTCATTAAATGAATGGGATTTATTTTGGAGCTCTATACATTTTATAAGGAAACACTTCCCATGCAAATATTATTAAAAAATGTAGAACTGAGAACAAACCAATCAGCTGTGATGGGTAAATTTGCAACACTGCCTTGTTGCAAATGCATAGAGTCATTACTGCTCCTCATACTGCAACTATTCATGCACGGCAGGGATTGGGAAGTCTTGTGTTGCTCTGCAGTAATACAACAAGAGAATCACTGAGCAGCAACACTGCGGGGAAGCCATATTAAAAACGGCGATAAAATCTTAATTCCCACGCCTTTAATTCAGATCTCCAGATCTCGCAGCTGCTGTGACACACAGATTACTCATAGGTCTAATTACCGAACCATATCAGTGCTGCCTGCACTGAAGACAGACAAGGCAACTTCTGTCAAATGGTAAACTGGCTCCACGGACAAACTGTAAACTGTTGTATCCAGAAAGTGTCTGGAGATGAGGCTGTATCATTAGATTGCTTGCATTGCAATGTCTCACATACAGTGAAATAATGAGCAGCTGCTTGTTTTGCTGCAGAGGTCTTCCTTCTCTCGTCTCCCCTCAGACTATGACTCCCTCTATTGTGTTACTTGTAACTTTCTTTCTCTCTGTTAATGGAGCAAAAATTAGGCCTATTTCTATAAAATGTTCAGACGACGTGCTAAAAACAGCTTCCAGCCCATGAGAAGAGTTTCAGTCAGAAATTGGACTCTGAACAGGAAAAACAAGCCCATTTCCCAAAGAAGTTTTAAAGTTCATGCACATGAAACATAAGATGCTTTCTCACACATTTGTAATCGTAAACAGACGACGCACAGGTACATTCCACAGTATCTCCTACTGTTCACTTTACTGAGATGTTGGTTAAAGAAGATACACAGTAAAACAGAACAGATTATTTTGTTGCATCTGTTTTTCATTGTTTGAACTGGATTGAACTGAACTGTGTTGGGCTTGTGGGGGAGACCAAAACAAACTTTGTATATATACGGATTGAACTCTGGACGTTGAGACTGTGGGAAACACACACAAACCAAGGTCCTAACCTAACTGTGGATTAAGTGTATCGGCCTAGGAAATAGTGAGGAAACAACATTTTCATTAGGAGCTTGCTATGGTGAATAGTCATATCATATTTAACCATCATACATTCAACAGACAGTGACAGCCAAAGGATTTCTTATCCAAAGTTTTTTTTGGTATTCGGTATTTGATATTAGCTGCCTATTTAAGGCCAGTGCCTGATTAGTCTCATCTGATGCTGCTGTGTGACAGATTGTGATTAGCGTGGGAATGTGACTCACTGACATGCTCTGATGACGATAGTACCACGAAAAAAAGCCCCCTGGCACATACACACACCCAAATCACACCCAGTGTTCTCCCTCTCTAGCTATGACCCAGTTCAGAGTCAGAACAGGTATTACCATCTGTCCTGAGCAATCTGATCACAACTGGTCTGCGCTAAGTACATGTGTGAATGCACCCAAATGCGTCTCTGAATGCGTCCTAGGATCCGATCACTTTAGAGGTGGTCTTGGATTCTTTCTCTCTTCATCATCAGCACTTTCAACACAGTGACAAAATGATCTACACAAACACAACTGAGGTACATGTTTATTTGAATATATAGAGCGGAAGTGAGATCCAATAACAATACGTCACAGGAGAATGCATTAAAATGCATTTTAATAACACGTGTGAACAGATGAATATAGTGCTGACCACTTGGGATCGGATCTCTCAGGATGAAAGATAATACCAGCTGTTAACAGGTGCTAAGAGTGCATGAAATCAGTGTAAAGGTATTTTTTGAATTAAATACCATTTGTTTACCTTTCTTTTCAGTGGACAGGGAGTAAAGCAGCTTCTCTTGTTGGCCCAGTCGCTGCAAGAGAGCATCGTGCTCTGAGTCCCGGCTCTGCCTGAGGGCCTTCAACTGATCCTGGGTCTGCTGATGCTGCTTCCTCAGGCGTTGTTCTCTTGTGACGCGTTCCCGCACCTCTTCACATAGCCAGCGTAGCTTTGTCTGGTTGGTTAAAGTAAATACACGCTCAGCAAAGATCATATTTAATAAAAGATGGAGTAGAAAGAGTTTGGAGGGGTTGTTACATTCAAAGAGCTCGCTGAACATGTTAAGAGATTGAGGACACTGGAAATGAGAAGTCACTAATTAGTAGTATTATTTAAGTCCAGAGGTTCCACCTTGAGAGTCTACATTCCTTGCCCATCTGATAATAAAAATGATTTTCTTTATATATAAAGCTCCCATTATTTTTGTCAAGTTGAAGTCTGCACACTAATCAATGCAAAAGACCTCACATAGGAACTTAATTTAGCCCCATAAAGGTCAGATAGAAGAAATTCATGAGGGAATTCTGTTTTCCCTTTAAAGTTAAACTGCTTCATAAAAAATAATCACATTTTAATTGTCTTTCTATTTAAGTATAGAAACACACACACACACACACACACACACACACACACACACACACACACACACACACACGCACATACACACAGTCATAGCTCAATTTTAGGGACATACCATAGATTACATAAACCTGCATTCACGTCCTGGAGACTTAATAACTCACTCTAACCTTAACTTCTGACCCATAAATGAGCTTTTACCTGATGATAAACACAGCTTTCATCTGTTTTAATGCTGTGCCAATGTTTCTTTCAACAAGTTGCTACAGCCGAGAAAAATAGGTGTTTAAATGTGGATTCTAACTGTGCTCTGTAAACCTGTAAATCATACCTAGATTTGACCAACATAAAAACTCCTGACCCAGGGAACTAATTATCTCTCTTGTTCTCTGCTGTTTTAGTTTTGTAAATGTGCAGTCTTATGAAAGAACGTCTGACAGGAGATATACATTATGGTGATAAACACTATGAATTGTGCAAACACATTTTAACACAGCATCGTGCATCACAGCCACAGGCGTAATTACATGTTTCTTTTGTACACAGCATTATTGCAATGCCAACAGGGGGCCTGGTTTCTGCTGGAAAGAGGCCAGTGACAGGAAGGCATTGAAATAAAACTACATGTCATAATTTCATCAATTCAAAGAGCCTCAGCTAACTATGATGTTGGCTCAGAGGAAAACTTGTGAAATAATGTATGACTGAACCTTAGGGTAAAGTTACAGTCGTCCTTACTCTTTAAACCCTGGACATCAGAGTTTCATCGTAATCAGCAAGTGAAAGAGGTCTCCTCAACAATAAATCATCTTTTTCTGAGAGCACATACTACAATGTTGTACAGGCAGAAATGCAATAATATGTAGTTAGTAGGAACATTTTAAGTTTACAAAGACAAAAACCTTGATCGAATAAATTTCCTGCTTTTGTCTTTCATTATTATTCTCTATGGTGTCCATGGTAATAGTGTAACTAATTATTTTCTCCATTATACCACTTATTATTAAGAGAAATCCTGTGTGAAGAATTCAGTATTGCTGCATGTACTGATCATACCTTTGACTCAGCAAGCCAGTGATGGGGGTCTTTCACTAATCCAGGTTTCTGTGAGATTGCCTGTAAATACAGGAAAGATATATCAATGCAAATGTGAGCTCATCTGCCTTTGTTAGTAAGCTTCGCACAATCCTGTACTTTTAAGTCCTGATTTTATGGAAGTAGGAAAAAAATTAATGGAAAGAACGGATGGACAAACAACAGGATAACAATCAGAAATACAGCCTCCTGTCAAACCCCAAACGTTTGTGAAGAACGACTTCTGCCAATTTAAATTGGTGTGCGTATGTGTCAAACACCCTATGACACTAAACACTGGAGGTTGTGTGTGTGTGTGTGTGTGTGTGTGTGTGTGTGTGTGTGTGTGTGTGTGTGTGTTTGTGCAAGCGTATGTGTGTCATAAAAATGAGCTTGGGGAGAAGGATCCATCCCTCCCAGACTGGCTTGTCAGTATCAGCAAAAGAAGCTGACTCCTAATGACTGCTGACACTCACACACACACCCACATATTAAAAAAACACACTCTTTAGACACAAGACAGATACACAGATAAACAGACGCCCAACTAGTTGTCACTCAGTTGGGAGCACATCTCTGCCAAAGACGAAAATGTTAAGATGTGCCAACTACAAACAAGAATTATTTTTAACCTAAGGTTAATAATCTCGTCCAGACATGATGCCTGCTTGTTTTAAATAAGAAGGTGAACACGTGCATATTCATAGTATTTTAACTGATGATCATAACTTCATGTAGCCATATATCTGTGCTCTTGACTGTTCTATGGCCATTAGGGTGTTATTTACTCCATCATTATGCAAGAGCGTTGTCTTTCAGTTTGAGAGCAGGACTTACGGATTTAAATTTCCGATTTTTTTAATGATTTAAATCAAAACCCTCGCAATCAAATAGCCCCTGCTTGTGCTTGGATTTTCTCTGTTTATGCTCAAATTGTGCACTTGCACACATATTTTTTATAGAGGCATGTCAGGTTTCTTTTCTGTTGTTTTTTTACATTTGAAGAATCTGTCACCATTTACTTTAATTGCATCGAGTTGGCTGTAATGCTCTTTACCCCTGAAACTCCAAAAGTGTTTTTTGGACTCACACTTCATTTTTCATTGAACTATCCCTTTAAGCCCAATCTGCTTTGATTGGCCAGCTGGTCCATTCTGTTATGACTGGTTAACCGCATTCAGGAAATGTCTTTGTCAGGGGGCGGCCAGAACCAGCTGCTAGGTGTGCAATATGCAAATACTGGTGATGTCACATGTCATGTGACAAACAAACCAATAAAAACATAACCTTTGTTGGGAGGTTATAATCTATACAATACACTAAAAGAAAGGGGAAAAGCACAATATATCTCGTTTAGGAAACAGTGTCAAGGCACATTAGCACTCACATCAAGATAATGTTAACATACTGAAGATAAGCAGATGTTTACCTTGTTCATTTTAGTTTAACCTACTATCATAAAACGTATTAAAATTGACAGACAATAAATGGTGACCTAATAGTGACTTGAAATTAAAATAAACAGATCATCAATTATTCCAATTCATCCTGATGGAAACATAAACGTCTGCACCAAATGTTCTAACAATCCAATCATTCTAGACATTTCAGTCAAAATTACAAATGTGAGCCTCATACCAGCACGGGAGGAAAAGTTAGGGGACAACCAAAACTATTTACGACTCATCATCTGGAAATGTCTGAAAAAATGTTGTACCAATCCATCTGGTAGATGTTGAGGTATTTCACAGACTAAGTGATAATTCTGCCTTGCAGGTGGCACCACAGGAAAAGTCAAGGGATCATCAGACGCACACAGTCCATGTGCACAAACTCGCACACAGCCATGTACAAAGTTTACGAAAAAGTGCATCTGTTTTTCAAGTACACCTTTGTGGCAAGGTGTTTATACATGATCAGCCGACACTGAGAGCAGACAGCAGGATCCCCCCCCCCACCAACCCTTTCTGTCCTGTGCCATGGTAAACAACATCATCACTGCTCTGGTGTCAAGCAAAATTTTAAACCCGTCACTCAAATCCAGATCCAAGCAAAAACAAATTTCCCAAGTTGTTGCAGAGGCAGCTCAAAGTACGGCAGCAATGGAGTACTGCTGTGCTGAAGTTCCCGTGTCTGGGAGTGTGCAACCGCATGGCAGAGTGTGCAGCGGTGTGGGAGGATAAAACCTGCCTCTATGCCTCTTGCTCACTCTCCCTTTATTCTTTCCCGAGCCTTCAAAGGTGGCTCGGTGTGGTAGCAGACAAAAAGGAGGTGAAACTGCTGAAAAAAAGCAAGTAGGCTGCGAGTTAAAAGGGTTGTCTGTGAGGTTGAAGTGAAGGAAATGCCACTATTTTCTCAGCAGCACTGCCGAGAAATCCGATTTTCCGAAATGCCACTGCTAATTTAAATGTGTGCCTGCGTGGTTCATGTGTCTCTTTCAGAATTAGAGTAAATCTGTGACTGTGTGTCTTTGGTTACAGTTTGTTTGCTTCACCTCACGCTGTGAAAATGTTGAAGATAGCAGAGTTTAGAGAGAAGCAAAAAGCAGAGATGTTACAACTAACAGCAGGTGGAGAGGACACAGGAGATAGATATTTTCACTGAGGCATTTCACTTCATCAAACAGCTTAAAGAGAACAGAGACAGAGACGATCCAAAGAGAAACAATATAAAATGACAAATGTCCCAGGCTGGATTCAAAGACAGATCTCTGCCATTACATTGTGTGCACTTGTTAGAGCCAGCCGTGCCCAGGAGAAACAGTTGTGCAACAGAAGTAGGTCACAACTGAGATACGATAGACGGGTACAGCAAGGTATCCTAAGAGAAGGTGCAAAAAGGCTAAGCACTTACATTAAAAACACATGTCAAAGAAAATGTTTGTTTCTTCAATAAAGTCATTTGTATTATCTATCTAGGTTAACTATTTGCAGTCCTCTGCTCACTTTCAGAGGGCACTCTTGAAAACCCAGACCTGCCTGGGTCTTTCTGTGTGGGGTTTGCATGTTCCCCCAGGGTTCGCCTGAGTTTTCTTCAGGTTACTCTGGCTTCCTCCCACAGTCCAAAGACATGCGGTTTGGGGTTCTGTTAATTGGAGACTGTGATAAAACTTGTGACCTGTCCAGAGTGTATGGCACCTCTCGCCCAATGTCAGCTGGGATTGGCTCCCGGTCCCCCTTCGAAAACTCAAAGGATAAGTGTGTGAGTGTATGTATTTATGTATGGGTGGATAGATGGATGTATATTATCTATCTAATAATTCTAGAAATCTCTGTCTGTCTGTATGTGGTTGTTGCTGTAAGCGTGCTCACAACAATGGCAATGACAACTGATTCCCCAGTTTGGGCTTCTGCGTATTGAGTCGAGCTTCACTGAACTTGGACTAAAGCTGCGGTGGTGCAAGTTCAGGGTTCTGCAAGTCTAGAAGCTGGTCTTAGCTTCCAAGTAAACAGCCCATTCTATTCGTTATGGAACCGCACTCATCTTCTTTGACTTGCTGGAAAGTAGTCTTTCAATCTGATTTACCAACATGCAGTAAATTCCCAGTCTTAATATCTTGTATGACAGAGCACTGATCTTAATAAGTTTTACTTTGAACTGGTGCTGTACTGCTTTGCAACTTCTTGCATTGATGCCTCTAAAGAGAAATAAGGAAGAAGAGCATCACAAGGTAAATGAAACCTAATACCCCCGTTAACTGTTAATGATTCCACCCATTAGGCCAATCGCTAGCAAGTTTGACTTCTTTTCAACATGACAGATTACAGATCAGGCGAGGCGTTGGCTCGCATGTCTGGCTGTTGCACTGCTGGACCAGATTGGGAAATCTATAAGAGCAGATAAGAGCTGCCTGGGTTCATTAGCCTGGAGCAGCAGAGGAAAACAAGTTTCAAGCAAAGTTGGGGAAGTAAATGTGCATTTATTAGTGTGTAAAGAAGTGGGTATTTTCAGAAGGCAACATGCATAAAGTCTGTCAGTAGGCGGTGTAGAAACTTTACTGTGCATAATAGGCATTTTATCATAGACCTTATTTAATCACAGGTCTATGATCCAGAATACAAAAACAACACAAATAAGAATAGTAATCGTTGGAATAGTAAACTTTGACCCATTAATTAGCCCCAGACGAGGACAGGAGGAGAACAGGGCACACTGAGATTAGAAAGGTAATTCCAGGGGATGTTTTGCCATGATTCAAAGTCCAAACAAGGACACATTATTTATTTGAATGTACAGCAGCATAGTTACCTAAAGTCAACTGAAGCATGATTTTACATTATAATGTACTATACTCAAAGATTTGCAACTACAGGAACAAAACAAAATAGCAAAAACATTCTACTACCAGGGGACAAAGCACTTCTAATTCTGTCCGACTGTGCAAACAGAAACATCTATTTAAACTAATCTTCCTGCAGAAACATGTCTCTGCAGATGGAGAAAATCATATCCTGATTTTTGTTCTGCAATTTCATCTTCACCGCATAAAAAGAACCAACAATATTCTCCCACTGAGATGAAAATATTTTCAATCGTCAGTACAGGTGTCCATTATGCAGCCTTCATCCCACCACATACACACAGTACAGTGTGTGAGATAAGTATTCCTTCAGGAGGGTGCATGCATGTGTGTGTGTTACATAGAAGTAGGCCTGGGACGATGGAACTAATTTTGCTGGACGATATATTGTCACACGAATTATTGCCGATAAACGATATTATTGTCAACATGATAATATATAATAATAATGCACACCCTTTCAAATACAATAAACTTTTATTTCTCAGTGTTTTTTACCTTTAGCGATGTAGCGAACTTCACTTTGAATGAGCGCACACCATTCTGCGCTGTTCCGTTTATATTGACTTTGTCGACCAAACGCCTCAGTGAGTGTTGACTGTCGGGACGAAGGCTCTGCATCGAGGTGCACTTTGTTTCCCCAGCTGGTTAAACTGGGTCGGGTGGTGATGCTTCAGGTGGGCATGCAACTTTGTTGTGTTGCCTTTTTTTGTTGCCACCACTTTTGAACTTGTTCGACTGTGTTGACGGGCTCACCTTGCTCATTCGGTTTGGAGCCGAAACCTTCCCACACCGGGGCTGTGGCATTTGGCTTTGCAATCATCTTTTCTCCTCGCGTTGCTCCGCACGACGCTCACTCACTGCACTCTGTGTGTGTAGCATGTGTGGCTAATGCTAGCGGCCCCCCCCCCCCCCACAGAGACAAAGAGGCTGGATGACTGACAGGAGGGTTCACTCCGTTCATTCCGCAACCAACGCCCCCAGGTGCTGAGACCGAGCACAGAGTGAACCCTCTTGTCATCCAGCCTGCTTGGAGGCGAGAGACGAGGAAAACAAACAAGCATGCACATGGCGATATATCGAGGCCGGCAAAATTATCGAGTTCATTTTAATTTATCGTGCGATTAATTGATTATCGGACCAGGCCTACATAGAAGGAATGTTTGCATATTATTTGGCCAGGACTGGCTGGGTGAGCAGAGGGGCTTACAGACACTTAACATGTTGGACACTCAACACCAGACAAAGTAGTTCCCGGTTAGTTTCTGCTGCTTCTCCTCTACTATGGCTTCACTTCACTGTCTCAAAAGATTGCCCACTTAAGAGTTTAATTATGGAAATGACAAATTAAAATTAAATACCCACTCAGATTTAACACCAAACTGAAGCTTAATGCAGCTATTAGCTTTGGCTCTCTGGCCCAAACATATTCTCATTAACCCTTACTATACTGGAATCGTAGGAATCCACATTTTTTCCAGCAGAAAAGTATAAGTGCACACTACTCGCCCAGAATGAACTATCAAGTAAACAAGTGACCATCTACGGCCCTGTTCAGACCTGTGTGTGTGTGTGTGTGTGTGTCACCACGAGCTGGAAAAATAACAGTCGTTACGCTGATTTTTTGTCGGTGGCACTGGCAACAAACAAAACGATGGATGGACACTGAGATTCGTAAAAATGTCCTAACCCTAAAACTGTAGTGGGTCAGAGGACATCAGCTGAGTAGGCAGTCCTTCATATGTGGCCCAGGACAGATTTGCATCCAAACATCTTAAAGAATGTGACCACGTGTCCCAGACAAACTCTAAATGTGGTCTGAGAGATCTGATCTTAAGTCGTATTGAGAGTACATTTGGGTATGTTCAGTCATGTACTTAAAGCTCACCACTTGTGATCGGATCACTCACATTGGATGTTAAAACAACAGGTCTGATTTGGGACTAAGTTAGTTAATGATGCAGCTAGATTTCTGTTGAGTTGATGGAACACTACAGCTTAATAGCAAGTCAACAAGAGACCACTATCTCACAACTCCGATGGATGTTCATGTTGCTGTGTATTTGCTGGAGGTGTAAGAAGTTTGAATAAGTTCATTAACAAGTCAATGGTATCAGTGTTGGGTTTCTGTGAACTTATTTTCCAGCCTTCTTCTCCACAGTGGCCAAAAAAAACATCAACCACAAAATTAAATAGAATAAAATTTTATGTAATGAAATGAAATACCTGTAGTTTGTCTTCACCATTCCTCGCTAGGCTGCGGCAGGCTGTGTCTAGTTCCTCTCCCATTGAGGTAAGGATTGTTTCTTGTTCCGCTTCCATCCGCAGCAACTTCTCCTCCAGTTCTGAAGCTTGTCTCTGGTCACCTGACCGGACCTGTGGACGATGGCAGAGAGCTGAGTGGATGCAAATTAAACCAGTATATTTAGTTATATTACTTGACTTTTAGAATGACTAGACAGAATGACTAGACAGAATAACAACATTTATTTACAGTAGATTTCCTGTGGGTGTCTAGAGTAAGCACACCCAGGTTTGCTAATTACAAAATCCATTGCTAGTTATTACTGCTTACTCAATAATACAGATGCAGAAAGACAGACAGACAACTTCAGGCATTGGAGAGTCAATTCAGTTTCCTCTCACACAAACATATCTAGTTCAGTTTCCTCTGGCCGGCACTGTCGATAGTTTCAGGATCTCGACCAGGACACAGTCAATCGATAAGTCGGAGGCACAGGCAACTGATCAGTGCTGCCCAGTGACCGTGGATCGTTATCCTGTCCCTGGGATAATAAACCACCCACGTTACATTAATAAGAGTCCCTTATGCTCCATTCAACCAATTTCAAATCAATACATTGATCACCCTCCAAATGCCCCATACGACTTATCAGGGACCTGTCAGAGAGGTACTTCATCTGCTGGTGTAAAACACCTGGGGAAGTATTGATGAAGTCCCTTTAAAAATAGTGCTGATTTGGCACCACTTAACCTTTCGAGTCATTCTTGGGTTTATATGATCACGTGTCCCAAACAGATATCCAAGATGTCGATGTAAGAATGGAAGGGAAGCAATGTCTTTGTGATGTTTGTTTGCTTCCTATTACGGATGAGAGAGTCATTTTGTTCTGGTGATTTGTTTAAAAAGAAAAAAGAAAGAAAATAAATGTCTGCCTTCGATATGAATAGCGTCTAGACAAGAGATGCATTATGTTAAAAATTATACTGCATAAGTGATTTTTATAAACTGGAAACTAAATTGTAAGACTGTTCTGTGATTAAATACATATATGCTGGTTGTAAATTGTAAATGTTTGGGTTAAACAGAGCTCTTACACCTAATGTATCAAACTGTCTTGGAACTTGCAGGGCCAAAGTTTACATAAAGTAAACCATTCGGGACGTCTCTACCTCATGACATTTATATATATTTGAAAAGGCAGGCTCGCAGCGTCTACTCTTGAGTAGGAATCTGGAAAGCCGTGCTCACTTTCAAATGCTGACACTAAACCCCTGAGCCACCGCACTGTCTATGTTTTAGAGACTTCCTCCATCCTCTCCCGCCCCTTGGCTGCCTCTCTCACATACACACTCTTTGAAGCACTGGCTGAGACAACCGCCTGTCCCAGCGGTTCAAGCGGCTTGGGACGACTATGGTCTATGCCGTCAGGAAACTCTGGAGGCGAGCAGCCCTTTACTTCGTACCTCATTTCTGTCACAAATGTGTGTGTGCTGCAACTGGAGTCACTGCTCGTAGCTAGATAACAAAGATAACTTAGCTTTTTTCCCAGAACAGCATTCTAAAGAATTTCCAAGGACTTTAACACTTAAAATGTGAAACCTGTACATGTAGCTGCTGATGACACATTAAAACTTTCTTTTGTTTCAAAGACTTTGTGTCACAAATACAAATGGAACACATATTTCATAACCTAATGGGCTACATATTCCACTGACATAACAATGGATATGATACAAGTTTTACTTTTATGTTTGAAAACACAGTGAAGGAGTCAGGCCTTACTCTATCATCCAGTTCCTCTTTGAGTAGTTGGTACTTTCTGAGGAGAAGTACGTGTGCCTCGTCTTTTGTGTAAAGTTGCGCTGCCAGCTTATCACACTCATCCTTCATCCTGTCCAACTTGATGCGTAGCGCCCCACACAGCTCCTTGTCTGACGCTGCATCTGCCTAGATAGAGAGCAGATGTGTCAAAGGCCACGATACACAGGCAATAACTTTAGATAATAATGTGGCCTATCTGCTCCAAAATTTTTAACTTTAAGCAGAATGCAGTTTGTATCTTTGTGATTTTCAGGCACGGAAATAAACAGAAAATGCGAGGAAATGGTGCAAAGAAGTTTTCAAAGAAGGCATTAGTGCTGGTCTGTGAGTCATAAATACAATAAATTACCCAGCAGGCTCTAACCTTAATTCACGTCTGACACATAACATCCTGTGCTGCACAAATAGAGAACATCATGTATATGGCATTAGAAGGTGGTTAAATGCCATTGTCCTTAATGCATGTCTCCAGCTTACAAGGACAAACCCACTTCAGACATTAGAGTTTTATTTTATGTGCATTATTACACAACTCAAAATACAGTAAGGTTGGAATGAACAATAATGACCAAGTATCAGGAGTGACATAAACAAAGAAAAAAAAGTAAAATCAGAACTGTTTGGAGTGGGGAAAGAAAAACGAATGGAAAATGGAAAATTAGAACTCAATGGAGGAAGTAAGAGAGGGCTTAAGACAGAGAGAGGGAAGATAAAATGGAGGAGAAATCAAGAGTGAGAAGACAAGGACGAGAAAATAAGACTATTTTAAGCTTTTTCTGACAGTCGACAGTATCAAAATTGTAATATAAGCTTCTGGCTGTGCTCAATGAATACCAGGCGGGCTTCTTAGAGACATCTGCTGCACCTGTGGGCTAGTACTTAAAAACACTCTAGCAAACGCCCTTGTCCTCACTGCACTCGCATATGAAACCATTACTCTGAGCTATGTCAGATATTAATGCCATTCAGCGCAGCTAATGGGCTAAACTCAACCATATCAGAAAAGACCATGCCCCTTAAGAAACAATGTACCCATGAGGACTCATCATGGGGGTAGGGTGGTGTGGGAGTAAATCAAGAGGACTCCCTGATCTCCCGCGCTGCCTCGATGAGACTTCTGAGGCCTGATATCGGGATTCTTTAATATTCACGCTTGGAGCTTTGGAACGGCCGCGAGGATCCACGGGGCACCACACACTATTAAGAGCTCAGCTATCCTTGATTCACCCGCACTCAGAGGACAGAGCCCTGGCCAATGAGGAAAATTGCTCTAAATGAGAATTTTGTCTGTCTCGCTGAGTCGGAAATATGCCAGATGTTTAGTGGCTGAGGCATGTAACCCTGTGCTGAATTTGAGGCACGTGCTGGTGATATCCTCTAAATGTCAATTAGAGTGTGACACTCTGTGATCCATGCCAAGGTGTGAAGAAAATAAATCTCTGGTTGGCTTATGACCTTGAAATCTCCAGAGATTTGAAAAACTAAGAATGTATAATGCATCTGATACAATATCCAAAGATCAGCAGGACTTTTTACAAGTTTTAAAGTATTGATCAATATTTTTGAACATACGCTTTTATATTTTTTTGATTTAAAGATTGATAGCAGTCTTAAATCTGTATGCTAAAAATGTAGTCTGAAGCCAGTAAGCTTGGCTTAACATAAAAACTGGAATCCGGGGAAAATGCTTAAATGGCTTTGTCCAATGTAACAATACCTACTTACAGCTACACATTACTGTACAGAGCAAGAGACTTGTATTGAAATAATAAACTGCTTCTTCAACTGTACATTTCATTGATTAAAGGCACCGACCTTAACCTCCTTCAGGTGTGCCTGCATTTCACGATGCTTCTTTATCCTGCCGTCTTCCATCATTGCCTTCATGTTGTCCACTTCCTTCTGATGCACCTCTCTCTCGAGCTGAAGCTGTTGCACCAGTGCCGCCCGCTCCTCCTGCATTGCTGTCAGCTTAGCCTGTAGTTCTGATGCTCCCTTCTGGAGTTCTTTCCTGGTCCTCTCATCCTCAGCTAACTGCTGAGCTTGCTGGGAATGAGCGGAGGTCATGTGCTTGAGGGCGGCCTGGAGCTCTTCCTGCTTGTCCTGGTCTCTTTGAAAGCGGCGTGCTTGGGTGTCGGCTCGTTCCTCCAGCCTCTGGTTCTCTTCCTTTAGTCTTGTTTGGATGGCAGACTGACGCCGAGTCTCTTCTTCCAGGGCAGCTGAGGCCTCCCTTACCTAGGATTACAAACAGTTTTAGACTGTTTAGACAGGGATTTGTACAAGAATGCTAATGTAACTGTAGCCATAAAACAAGCATTGTGAAGTTAATATATATCTTGGCGAAATGTAACTTCAGTGCTTGCTGACTATAGTGATTGCGTTTGATTCAATGGTATACTGGTCTTGCAGATGCTCTGATGGATTCAAAAGTAAAAATAAGAAGAAACAAATTATGCAGTAAAAACCTGACACACTGTCTATGAACCTATGAGTGAAATAAAGCAGTTTTTTGTGTCCCTGGTGATCTGCAAGAGAAATGTCTATTTCTGGATATTCAACCCCACACCTCCCGCATTTCCTGCTCCAGTGACAACTGCCGCTGGCGGGTCTCGGACAGCTCCACGTCCTTGCGGTGGAGTTCTTCCTCTCGCTGAGCCAAGCGGCCTAGAATTTCAGCGAGCTCCCTGCGGGCTGCCTCAGTATGCTGGCTCAGCGCCTTTAGCTGGGCCTGAGAGCTCTCCTTTTCCCTGGCTGCCTGGAGGGAGAAAAAGAGAGAGTACAAGAGCGGGGGAGAGGGGGTGTGTGAGAAGGATAGAAGGGAAATGAAAAATGACAAATGAAGAGGAGGAGGAAGATGGTGTACAAAGAGGAGCTCTAACAATAATGATGAGAGCAAGAGAAAGAGTGACAGAGGGAGAGAGAGGGAGAGAAACATATGCAGAACCAGCTCTTGCACTGATAGGAAAACGCTAGCACTCAGCTCCCTGATAAGGGACAATGGTCAGGTCTGTTCAAAGCAGATTGCTTCTAATACTCTGGCTTTGACTGGAATTTGCAAAGACTTTGCTGTAGCTCAGAACCTAATCATTTAATTGAGCACTTGATTCTCTCCCCTAATTCATTAAGGGGGCAGAAATGATTTTGTAATGAATTCACGTTGAGTGTGCCAGGTGGGATTCTGTCTGTCTGTCTGTCTGCGAGGCGTGAGGCTGCTGACTACAAGTTTAGAGGTGACTCACTCAGTTCAAATGGGATGGAAATCACTGGGAGGTGACTTTCAAGCTAACAATAATAGTCAGCTATTAATTATTCAACCATGCACAACCGCTGTAACATAGCAGGCGAAGGTACTCTGACTACTCCACTTCATGTTTGTACAAATACATTATTCAAGAGTTTTAATCTGACTTTGATACAAAGCCCTCTGCACTATAAAGACAAACAAAACAAAGTCTGAATTAAAATGAACAGAGAAAGGCATGCACAAATATCCAGCCTGTTTGCTTTGTTTAGGTTGAATAACAACTTTAATACAAACCTCTATAACATTAATACATAGTGTGTTATTTAACGGGTATTAAAGAGTGTTCAGTAGCTCTAAGTGCCATTATTTCCTTAAAAACCTGCTACTTTCTCTTCATCGTTAGAAAGCTGAATGTGACGTTAAATATAGACTGCAAAGGATATGTATTTATATCATGACTGACTAGAGAGCCATAGTAATCTTGTATGGTATCTCCATATTGTAAGGAAAGCAACAGCTTAGAAACACAGAGCTGCGAAAAGAATTTGAAATGTGACCGCTGAGCAACAGAGTGGTTTCTGTGGTGTGGTGTCTATAATTTCTCAAAATTCTGTCCATCACTTATATAGTTGTCGTGACCTTCCATCATCCACCAATGTATTCTGACATTAGTATGGTACAGAACTACAGGGTGAGTTTGGCTAAGATAAATTTTACTTTCTCTTCACTGCCCGAGGTGGCACTCGACATCAGTCCACTACTGGAGATGAGAAATGCATTTCAGTACAGACAATATCGATCACCTCACTTTTCAGAACGTGCTGTCAAAGTCAAAGCAGTCAAGCACGAATAGGCCAGAGTCCGCTGCTAAGAAAATGCAACACAGGGAGTCAGAGCCACAGTTGTTGCTCGCTGTGCAGCCAGAAGGTTCGCTGCAGGTCCAGCCAGCGGCAGCAGCAGCCGGAATGTTTGAGACAGAGCTGCCTGATGCTGATGAGACGAGATGACCCGTATTTGTGCTGCAGGAACTCAACAGTGTCAACTCAATATATTTTGCTGTATTTTGTAAAACAGAGAGCTGACTGCTAAGAGATTGGTTATGATGAAATGTATTTAATCTATGGCAGTAATAAGGGTTCACAGGCAAGTGCATGAAGGACACACTCCAGTGCATCAGAATCTAAGTGACAGGTAGACAGACTAAAGAGTGAAAGATGAGTTTGTGTGAGAGAAAAAAATGCATTGTTGCCACAACTGCAGCCAAAATGGTAGAACAAGCAGGTGGCAAACAGCACTGCCAATAGCACTGCAAATGCCGTTGCTATTTAACAAGTTGAGATATCTCATGGCATTTTGAGAAGTTTAAAAATGTTTTGGTTCATTATGAAACTGTGGCTGGACAAATTAGAAAATGGAGGGCTGCCACAGTCTAGTTAATAAATGGGAAGTACTGGAAACATAGTTCAACTGTAGCTAATGTACAATCCTAATCACAGTTCTGAATGTCTGTTATCATATGCATTGTTTTTTTATTGTGTGATGTCCGGTGTGTTGGGAAATTTTTCATGCAGGCTGTTTAGAGGTTTCACCATCAACTTCCTCATACATCATGAATATTGATGCCTTATAACCAGAATAATGTCAGTTTCTTTGTCCATCTCACTGTCGCAGTGAATTTAGTTTTAAAAGAAGAAATAAATATGTGAGGGACATTCATAGATGCTAAAAAATGCTTTAAAAAGGCACAAAAATCAAGGAGACTAGACAAAGAAAGAGTCAAACAGAAGAAGCAGCAGCAGTGACTGAGACATCCTGAATTTTCATGTCTTGTATGGGTCAAGCTCAAAAAACACTGGCTCCTGCATTTTCCAACTCAGTAGCATAATTTATTATATTCCTAACACCCTGACTGCTATCAAACGTCATACCTCTATAACGCAGGCTTTCTGTTTCCTACACAAACTGGAGCTAAATTAACAGATGAGAAACAGAGTAGGTTACAAGAAGTTACCAGTATATTTATCCCAGAATGGATATTTTCACTGTGGACAGACCGCTAACATTATAAAGATCAGCAGGTACTCAGTCACAGCTGCTTCAGCAGGCTGTGGTGTCAAAATGTGGGTAATGAATGCTTCACAACCAACCTGCAAGGCCTTGTCAGTATGGAATTGCACCTGGGCCTTTGCCTCCTCCAGCTCCTTCTGCATTCTCTTGCACTTTGCCCTCCACTGGCGCACAGCCTCCTGGGCCCTGGTCTTCAATTCATCTCTGCTCCTTGTGCTCTCCTGGAGTAATGCCTCCGTCTCCCTCCTCTCTGTCTGCTCTCGGCTCTGAAAGGGATGAATTTTTGAATAAAGTGTATATTCACTCTTTATAATCTGAATCAGGGTTTCTAACCATGGGGTGGATCCTAAAATGTCTCATGGGCCTAACTCTGCGGGATCTAATTAATTGCAACTTTAGTTTTTCGATTCTTTAATGTGTAATTTTGTGAAGTTGTGACCCAAGTAAGCCACTGAACGCAGCATGCTTCGAATTTAAATTACCATTAGAAAAAGCACCACTTGTTTGGAGTCCTAGATAAAAATTACCAGCGGCAGATGAATTGCAAAGTGAAACAGTAACCAAACAAAATACCTGCATCTGCCTCAACTGTTCCAGCATTCGTAGCTGCTGCTGCTCCCGCCGCGCCAGTTCTGATGACAGTTCCTGGAATAGAGAAAAGAGGAAGGTCAAGGATGTGTGCGTGTCCTTGTAATTGTGCTGCGGCTAATGGAAGAAAAAAAGACAGAAAAGCAATAGAAAGGGAGACAATGCAGGAGTGTGTTTAAGGGAAAGGAAGTTAGAAAAATTAAGAAAAAGGCATTTGATGTGAAAGAAAGGAAGCAACAGTTAAAGGTGGATGTAGCAGGCGAAGAGGAGCACAGCAGGAAAAAAAAGATGGTGAGGGCAAAAGAAGGTTGAGACTGTGTTTACATTCTTACAATTGGATTATCTGCCATGCTGGTCTGAAAAGTAGTCTGAGACGAGAGCTGCACTGGATTACCGTCATATCCACAAGAAAGTCACAATCACTTCGAAGTTTCCAGTTAGATTGCAGTTGAGGGCAAATAAGGTTACCGCAGTATCGTTTAGGTGCTTATACTGAACAGGTCTGTCTGTTAGGAATAATTAGTCATAGCCTGATTAGTCATAGACCTATTAAACTGTATATAAATTCAGTCACTGAGAAATTTAATCTTCTAGCCCATTCCCCTCATTATACTTCAATTTTGCTCATTTACCGTTAAAATGAGAGATTTCTGACACCTATTTTGATCTCGACATAAAAACCATAAGAGATGCCCCAGGTGATACACGCAAACACCCACCTCATCTTTCAACACCTACTCGGCAATAGGGGAAGCGTGGGAGTTGAAACACATTTTCAGAGAAGAAACATCAGAGATTAGAGGAATGTGCCAGAGCTTAAAGTGCAGCGATTCCCACTAACATTTTATCGATACCCCATGGCCTCAAATAGCCCTGCTAAGCAAGGGGACGTGATTTTCTAGATTTTTTTTCTTTGTCTCATTACAGTGATGGAAGTGACACATTGTACCAGTTTGAGGAGGATAAATGACTGTCGGTTGACTTCTGATCTCATATTCCAACTGTCACTTCATCTGACGATTTTAAGAGGATCAAGTGGCATGGAGTTGGCGGAGGATACAACCACGGATGAGAGGCAACCTACAAACTGAAACAACCCTGCTCAGGGTGGGGCCACCGTCATGGCAAAAGTCAAACGCATTCCGTGTCGTGTTCATTCGCACTCCAGCTGAGAGATCCTAAATGTTTCCCTTTATTCTTTGGAGTACAGTGGAACAATAGCGAAATGAATGAGTGAGGAGACACATGCAAAGCCTTCTCTGAACCACTGGTGTTGCGAGCTCTTGTCATTTTATGATTACCACACAATTTCTCTGACACAAACGAAAACACACACCTCAATTTGTAAGCTGAGTTGGACCCTCTCCTTCTCCTTATGGTCCAAAGCCCTCTTCAGTTCCTCGACCTCACGGAGAACAGAGGCCTTGCACAGCTGAACCCGCAACTCTGCAACTTCTTTTTCTAAGTCTAAATAATGAAACACATACATACGTGTAAACAACACAGACACACACACAAACCCAGATACATAATCAAACTGATTACAGCAGGTTGAGAAAAGAGCACAATAGAACAACAACCTGGAGGAAAGTGATGGATAAGGGAGCAAGAGGATGAAATATATAGTATTCTTCAAAAGAAATAAAGTAAAAACACCATTTTTTGAGTAAGAAAGATTTTGGATTTTAAAATTGAACCATTTATTAACTTCACTGAATTATCTAACTAACTGATATGCACGATCACTTCACCAAGGGCAGACCAAGAGTTGAAAGATGTAAACAGAATAAATAAATGAAGCGATAACAAGCAAAAATGGTGATTAGAGCCCAACCAATTTATCTGTTTGTCGATAAAATCCGGCTGATATGAGCCTATGACAGACATATCTGCAAATATTAATGCAGATATGTCTGTCATAGGCTATATAAATATATAATAGGCTAAAATATTTTTTACACAATAGACAATGCAGAAAAGTGTGCATTTATATTTTAATTCTACTTGAAATAAAATGATTTAGGTCTATATATTTGGTTGTATTTGTGTCTTCTTATCATTTTTAGTTAAATATAATAAAGTTTATAGTTAAACTGTAAAATAAAATATCAAGCCTCAGTTACGTTTCTTCCTTTTCAGGTCATTTAATGCCCTTAGGTCATATCATTGCAAAAACACATAAAAACTAATTTTTCTTGAATACATCAAAACAATCTCAATTTTCTCCCCCAATAGGGTCATAAGATTGACACTGTTTTTCGCGTATCTTTTTGTGACATATTTCAATCAATTTTCTGTCCTCTTACCAACACTCCACATGTCCTTCTACTGTCTGTACCTTTGCTGGCCCTGTTTCTGATCTCAGGTCTCTCCCTTCCGACTGTCACTCATCCACTCTTATGAGAGGTATATTGATCCAGCTTTTGGCAATGTGTGTGCACTGTCTGTACATTTTTGAAGGGGAAATTGATAAAAAAAAAAAAAATCCTATTGGATACAGAGTTGCCATATATATATTTCCAATTGTCGATCTCACCTACACATCCCATTCCACGCTGTCCTGTTTATGCTCCTTTGCTAAACTCCAGAGCTCAGACATAATTTCAGTACCTGGCCCTCGCTGTCCACCTCTTCCCTCCTCCCTGTCAGTGTGGTTGCCATGTGTTTGAGCAGTGGGCTGAGGAGTATCCAGCCGCGCCCTCTGAAGCTCAGTCTTCTCCTTACTTATCCTCAGCAGCTCATCTCGCATGTCCTCCACCTGGAGACCACACAGAAAAACACACCTGACTGGAACCACAACACAGACAGTGTCTTAAAAGTCTTTGTGACTAATTTAATTGTCTTACAGGGGTTTACTGTACATCTACATATAGGTACGGTATCAACAAACAAACCTGTTGAACGAGTGACTCCCTGCTGTCCTCGGACTGTTCTAATAGTCTTCTAGCTCTCTCCAGATCCTGCTCCATCTGAGGTAACAAGCATGTGAAAACAATACACAAATAACAGGTGTTTAACTCATGGGGAGTAAGCAGGAGGTGTGGTGTCTCTATATACATTCAGTTGAATATAAATCAGAGGATTTCTACTTTCATATACAAACATTCCTGAACGACAAAATTCATTCATTCACCTTCTCCTTCTCTGCTTTCAATAACCTGGCTGTCATGGCCTCGTCTCTCTCGTGGGCTTGAACTTGTCGTCTTCCTATTGTCTACAAAAGACAAGCCACATCACAACCAGGGCACAGTGAGTTATTATAAAAGCATGTATGAGTACTGTAAAAACAACGTGAGAGGTACAGTTGCATCATAGTATCTCGTCTTCTTGGAACAAGAGACTGGCATCATGGTGGATGTGTACAAGAGCTTAGCTCCCACTCGATCCAACTCTTCTGAGCAGGCTGTGGTGATGAATTGCCGGCTGCTAGCAATAACCGCTACCCAAGTGACTCATCATCTATTTGATTCACATCACAGCGGGGCCCATCGGTGGGGAATAAATGTGCCCTCTGCTCTCCCTCCTCTCCTGCTCTTTAGTAGTAAAAGAGATTATTTTCCTCTTCATTTCCTCATGCTTGTTTATTTACCCTTAATTTTTGGACAAATGCATTATTTCCCATCGCCCCAGGCCCTGCTGGTGTCCCATTAGGGCACTACAGAGGAGAGGGATGCAAATGAATTGGTAGCTACTATCATTACACAGTGTGTGTGTGTGTGTGTGTGTGTGTGTGTGTGTGTGTGTGTGTGTGTACGCGTGCGTGAAAAAAGTCTCGCTCAACAAGAGTATCAGTCTGAATGAAGCTACACAGTGCCCCTCTGTGGTCGAATAATGAACTGCAGCAGACATGAAAAATTAAGAGTGATGTCAACACATTGATTAGTTTTTATAAAAACACTGTCCACACCAGTAACCAACATATGGATGGTTTGATTATTTTAGTGAAATAACATCACGTTGATGATGTATGATATGAGAAATAGAAAGAAGAAATATAAAAAATAAATAACAAGACTATGTGTTCTTTACTGAATGTGCACATCCAGTGAGTGCACCTAACTGTGAGTCTACTCCACTAAAGTGCACGTAATGACAGAGCTCTCTCAGCTATTACTGCTTTTAGACTAATACGTGACAAAAAAACCACAACTCACATGAAATACAGAGAAGTTACAATTGCACTGCTTAAAAATGATTCCCTCGTGAGTTTTATAGGAGCAGGAGGGCTCAGCGACACAGCGGGAACAAACAACAGCAGACGGAGGTACATTAAGAGGAAACCCGTCAGTAAGACAGTGCATTACACTTCTACAATACAAGTAGCACGATTCTTAATTGTGTGGAAGATTATTAATCACAACAAGTTAGCGGTTTTAGTTGGCATCTTCTCTGAAGTGAAGAGTAACAGAGATCTCTTGGAAATGTTACGTAATCATTTTTTTAGCACCATCAAACATGCATTTTAACCCTTCTTTACTTGACTTGGCAGCCAACTGAAGTTTCATAAATTGTGCAAAGGTCAATGGTCTGTATTATTACTCAAGAACAACCAACAGGAATTTATTCATTTTATTAGTACTGTGTGACTCTCTTTCCCTTTACTGTATGTTTAATTTATCATCATGGTGAAAAACAACTCAGGACCCATATCTTACACAATGTGGCAGGAGCAAGACCTAAGTGTCAGATCCACACTGTTGTCACTTTCCTGTTGAGCGTCCATTTTGCTTCAAGAGAAAGTGTGCTTGCATCTGAGCTTCGATGGGCATGTGTGGCTGAAAAGTAAGTGTTGTCAGGTGCACTGTTGGCACCAAGCTATGACGAGGAAGTGGATAGCGACTGTACTTTTGACCAACAAAAACCTGGTCTGAAGCCAGTGGTGCAGTTCACTGTTACTATCGTGTCTATGGCCAGATTTTGATTTTGAGCTTTCACCATTTAACTAGCATAATTCCCATGTAAGACAACAGAGTGACGTATTAGTATTAGTATGAGTATTAGTATTAGAAAATGTATTTTGACACTGTGATGATATGAAACAAAAAAATCGGAGGATCATCTAAAATCGGCCTCTGGGGAACTCCATGAATAGAACAACAACCTTACAATGCTGATATGAAGGCTAAATTTCAATTTCATTGAAGGTGTTTAGTATGAGCGACTAAGAGTAAGATTATTTATGAATGCAATGATTCTCCTTCATATTACGTATTTCTTGACGGGTCGTCTCAGACCTGTGGAATGACCCTTAAAACACAAAATGCGTTCAGCTTTGAAGGTCCTAAACAAAAGTCTGCTTCCACTTTCACTGAACTTTTAAAGATAACCACACTCCAAGCAGAGCAGTTGGTAAAATCATACTTCGCAGGCATCACTTGGCTTGAATTCTTCAACTAATTTGAGAAACCTAACAACCGAACATACTTTCTGTAGAAAGTTGGAGATGTGGCTTTTGGATGGACAACAGTTCCAAGATGATAACTGAATTATTCTGTCTTTTCTTAAGTGTATTAAAGACTGAATTCCATATGTGGTGTGGGATGTTTGCTTGACAAGCATGCCTGTTGTATTTCTCTTTTTGTGAGGGTATGTGTGTATGCCATGGACTGTATATAAAGATGCACAACATGACTGCTCCCCACAAGTAAAGCTAAAATTCTGTGATCTCCTGCTCATGGCCGGCTGCAGTATAAGTAATAAACCCCACCGGCTCCATGATAGGACATAGACCAAACTAAAAAGGGAAAATGTATGTTAGATAACCTCCATCCCTGCTCTCTACCTAGCAGACTCTAACTCCAAATTATTTGGCGCCAGATGGCAGAGTTTGCATCTGGGATATTTTGGATTTATTTCTGGACAGTGGGAGGGATGACTCATGTGTTCTTATCAAACTAAAGCTTTGCACTACTTAGTGATGTTCAGCCTAATTTGTTGTAAACTTGTCCTATATGCTTCTTTGTGTCTTTTGATGTCTGCAAGTTCTCTTTTTTTGTTTTGTTTTTGGCTTCACTTTTCGATACGAAAGAACATGAGTGTCAACAGGGAGGTGAGGGATGGAGGGATCTCAGCAGATGAGTGAAGGTGGAGTGTCACCTCCTGCAGCTCATCGGATATGCCCACCCGCTGCTCGGGCCGCCTTTCACTTTCCGCGCTCCTCTCCTCGCTGTGTATCTCTCTCTCCAGTTCCTGCAGACGCCGCTCCACGCGAGACGATACCTGTAGACAGTCAGATGGAGGAAGCCTCGGGTCACAGAAACATCAGGGAATGGCAGTATGATGTGAAAAATGAGAGAACAGGAAATTAAAAGGGTGGGTGACAAAAATATCTTTTAGAAGTGACTCAAAGTATTTTATTTGACATGCAAAAATGTGCTGTCTAATCAGGAAGCATCACATCTTCCTGTATAACAGTTAATAACTTTATCTTGTCACATCCAAATACACAACAAGATAAAACATATTAAACATGCTGGCTGTCATTTGATTTGTCACAGCTGTGATGGTGCAGTAAGGAGCCATGTGACTGGAAATTATACTGATAGATTTTATGAAGTTAGAGTTAAATAAAGAGAGCCATTTGTCCTTAGCTGTCTTGTATTCAGAAAAGGAAAAACACATGCATACTTCACATTTTGTATGGCAGCTTTCATCCATTAATAACTGTGATGAACTCTCCTTAAATTCATGATGCATCCACTTCTCTTGTGAGAGCTGGAAGACAAACTTGAAGTACTGGTAATGAAATAAAAAGCCACAACTCACTGAGTCTTGTCTCTGGGATGTTGTCATGTGCCCTGTGAGGCTCTCCATCGCCCGCCTGGTGTCAATATCAGACCTCGGAAAAATACAATAAACAAACAATAAAGAGACTGAAGATATTTACACAGGAGAGTTCTCAGCCGTTTTGAAAAATCCTATTCCAGAACATCATTGATCAACATGTGCCGTGAATAAAAGTTAAAATACAGCTTCAGATGATGAAATAAAGCGGTGGATCAATTTGGTCTTGTCAAATGCCCTGGAAAGGGGTTTTTGATATATTTCAATACATGTTCAAAGAAAGATCTGCCGCCTTTGACTTTGCAGTTGTATCTCTTTAGGTTTCCCACAATCCTTTCATCATTTTCTCATGAAGGAGATTTCAAAGAACCGAAGTCAATGTATTTCTTTTCAAATCTCAAGTGAAAACTATTCATGTACAGTGAATAAGAAAAGTATAAGATCAATGACCTGCAACAGTGCAGACGGAAGCAAAACCACGAGTGAGCAAAGAAAATATTGTGGTAAATCTGTGAGCAGGTGTAAAGAAGAGACTGCGTATCAGTCCACTGACACTTTGTGGGTTAGAATAAAATCAGCACGAATTAAATGAGTAAAGTCTTATTCTTAAATGTCAACGTAAGACTGTAGAAACAATGATGTTGCACTATTTCTTTTTATAAACTTAGAACAATGATATTAAATGTGGCTCAAATGGTATTGAACATTTATGAAGAACAACTAATGAAACAGTATAAAACTACTGAGTTATATTATTGGATGATGATGGCTACTGATTTGTAAAATCAAAAAAGGGATGGCCATCGGTATTCATGTTATGTAATTTATATGAAAATGGCAGGTAATGTTGGAATGTGTAAATGTATAAGTGAATTGTTTTGTTTTAGTACTACACTGAGAGGAACTAAACTTTAAGAGATACATAGCATTTGAACACTGATTTATCAGTTTCCTCTGTAAAAATTAGCCTCTTTTGAAATGTCATTGTGAAGACATTAAAGAAAAAAAGTCAAGAGAAAACATTTTTACAGTGCATTTCCATTAGATGTCTGCGATGAAGCTTTTTAAATATGACTGTGACAAATTGGCAAAAATATTGGGACATTTATTTTTCCTGTGACTAACATCTAGACTGTTTATTCTACTTGAAACCACTTTTTTGATGCTGTATTCAGCCGTAACCACCTAGTCTGATAAAATAAAAACAACTGGCGAATTCACTTGTGTATTACCCACTTTGCTGTGTGGAAACAAAAAAAATATATTCTACAGTTTTTAATGTTCAGGCTTTCTCCTTCATCACAGATACCTGTTCCTCCTGAGGATTTCTCTATCCAGGTCATCAGACAGTCTCTGCTGGTCACTATGTAGATCCCTCAGGGATTTGTGTAAAGTATGAATCTGTGTGAGAGACAGACACATACACATTGTACAAACAACTCAAAACACGAGTAAAGCAGAGCAGAGATAGATATGACTGCATTTACAGAGATACACATTTATAACAAAATAAACAACATCTGATTTGAGGTGTTATTAAGCTCCCTTTTCCTTGTGAAGATTAGTATAGCTAATATTTTCAGCTTTTCCTCTTGTGTCAACTTTCTGAAAAGATGTGAGGTAACAAGCAGCAGGGATTAGTGGTTGGTCTGTCGGCGTTGCTTACATCATCTCCTGTCCGACTGGCATCCTTGAAGCGAACACCGGCAGACTGAGACCTCTTCCTACTTGCTGCAGGGCCTGTGTAGTGGGCTCTCAGTGGAGAGGTAGGGTAGAAACGCTGGCCTTCTGATATAGAATAGAATAGAATGCCTTTAATGTCATAACACAATGAAGCACGGCGAAATTACAGCAGCTACCACTGAAAGGTGCATTTAACTAATAAAATATAACAATAAAATAAACATATTTGCAGGATATCACAGACATACAGGTATTATAAAGTGTTTATTTTGGGGAACAATATGATAAAACAGGTGTAACACCTTTCACAGGCTAGTCAATTTCAAAAATTGGTAACCAAACAAAACCCTACAAACAAAAGTCAGCAAAAGCCTTTCCATTGCTCCATACCTGACCCTGAACAAGCCTCCAGGTCACTGGTATGCAGGGTAGAGGCCGAAGCTGAAACACTCCGAGCACCGTTGGTTCTACTCAGCCTCTGTGTCTGCAGCTGACTGATCGACTCCTCCAGGTTTTCCCTGAGCTTTTGCATGAAAAACAGGGACACATCATTAACAAACCAAGAAGACAGAGAGAACAGCTCCTAAATAAAATCACAGCCCTGCAGATGGTAATGGAGGAGGAGAGGTAGAGGATAGCGTGTAAAAGAAATTAAAAAGTGAGAGAAAATGAAAACTGAATACGGAGAACTGAATATAAAATTTGATTACTGACAGAGATAATCTCAGTAATATAACAAGCAGGGTTTTTCCTGCGAAGAATCATGAGGCTGCCACCTCCAGCAAATTTCATGCCACCTCCAGCTCTTGGCAAAACCCTTTGACGGGTGCCTTCATGGAAAATATCATTTTCTTATAAGCGTTGCCCTTGGATTTTCCACTTGTAAATTTCTTGCAGCATTATGTTGATGTGGTGGCGATGTATCAACGAGCAGGAATGTGTCAGTTGCCCTGATATTTTGTGACATTTTAATATTGATGTTTCTCAAATACTTTCTTAATATTTTCGGGGGTATAAATTGGCACTGCATCCCACAATTAAAATGCTTTCAACTTTGCAGAAATTACTCATACAATAAGCATTTACTACAGGCAAGTTGATGAGTTGCTGGAAATTGATGAGGAATAAAGTAGTGCACAACCACAAGATGTAGAGGTTGCCGGTGATGGAGAGGGTTACAAAGGTCAAGACAGGATGAGGTTTAAGTCACCAAGTCATAAAGAGTTTATTAACACAAAGCCAATGTTAGAGTGATGATAATGCCACTATTTAACAGCATAATTTATTTTTTGGAAATAAAGGTTCAACATTAAAATACATCATAAAGGCTAACGTACCAATTTACAGAGTTAGCTAATAACAAAGTTGTTTTCAATCAATTCATATAAAATGTTTTCTTATTTTAAACTGTTTTACTATTCACAGGGACCCTCTTGCAGTGTAGGTGAAGATGAATATAACATAAAAGCCTTTGCTTTCATTTACACACTGGAAAACCCGTAAAATGTGACTGTTACATATGGTTGAACGCTGTCACTGAAGCTTTTATCAACACATTAAGAGGCAGAATATTTAAATATCCTAGTTTGACTGTATTTGATTGTGTTGAGTCGGTTGAAGGCACGGTGCACATACACGTGCACACACATGATCAGGATGCTACCACCTCTGCCTCATTTTGAGCCAGGAAAAAGACTTACTACTAGGTATTCAGATTGGAATAGAATATCCCAGAAGTGTTATTGCAATGGACTGAAGATGTGGATTTATGAAACTGCCAAACACATCACACTGACACATCTATCCGTTTTCCAGCATTGCAGCCAGACTCCTCTGCTGGAGAAAGTGACATTTTAACTTAAGTTTCCTTAAGCTTATTCCATTTTGTTCAAAATATGTTAAATTGGTATTAATATAAGACTTCTAGTGGTTCAGCAACATGCAAATGAAATTGGAGAATGGCCATGTGTGCTGTGGAAAAACCAATATCAAACAAACTGCACCTTTAGGATGTAAATACACACATAAAAGAACACGTGTAAATACATAAATAATAGAACATATGTAAGTACACACATAAAAGAACACGTATAAATACATAGATAATATAACAGGTATCTCACCAGTGCCATGGCTTCAGCATGATCGTCTGTATGATCCCTGTACTGGCCCAGCATCCGGTCAACTTTGGTCAGGTTTCTACTGGTGCCCTGCCAGATAAATAAACATATGAATGTTTAAAGTGCACGAGGAAGCTATTGTACTGCCACTGAAAGTTTGAGCACAACCACTTGACTTTGTGGTAAGATTACAAATCCGCACATGCTCTGTGTTAGATTTAGAAGAATGAAATGTGGACATGCAGATGCAGCACCTGTAACGTGTTGGCCAGGGTGTCGATCTTCTCGCATATGTCTGTTGCTCGATCACCACCGGCACTGCCCCTGTCCCGGCCGGGTCTGCGGTGGGCGTCACGACCCCGAGGCCTGTGCCCCCGCGTCCTGTCGTACGAATCCGAACTGCTGGAGGTGTCCATAGTTTGGGTTTGGCAATTTTGCAGGAGTGGCGACAAAACAAAAACGCCTGACTGGGATAATGGGTCTATTTGTGATCTACCACTAGCTTCGTCAGCGCAAAACGCCAATTGTTTACAGTGACGTTAATCAGATTAACGACCACGGTGGGACGGTTGTGAACTTTCTGTAAGATATGAATCTTTATCACAGCAAACCGAACCGGTAGCTCAGTCATCGTCAATTGAACAACAAGAGGAAGACAAGAATGAAACTATGTGACTAAAACAACCCTGCAGCTCACACCGGTCCCCTCCCAATCAATCCCAGCCATTGTTGTGACTGATGCTCCTCCTGGTTAGCAACAAGTGGCATCCACTTCTGGAGCGCTAGCTAGCTAACCCACCGTTAGCTCACTTATTTAGCTCGGAAAGCAAACAGCGAAGCTACAGAGCACTGCTCGTGTCCACAGCTCAAAGAAACAGAGGAGAGACTTGCTGTCGTATCGATAATTTCCACAGAGGACGTTTGTTTTTGTCGCGTGTTGCCTGTGAGCTAACAGAAGAACAGCTTCACTGCGCTATGGCAACTTGAACTAGCCGCGTCTGAGCAGGAACACAACACAGCCCGGGGACCGCGAAGGATGCCGGGAACTGTAGGACGCTCACAGTGGAGCAGTGGAGGAATTGATTACCTCCGAACTACATTGTCCAAAGTTGTGTGTTTGCGCCACTGCTGCCGCTTCTGTTCGAAAAAAGGAAAGGAAAGTCATACTAAAAAGAAAGGAAAGAAAAGTCACACTAAAAAGAAAGGAAAGAAAAGTCACACTAAAAAGAAAGAAAAGAAAAGTCACAATAAAAAGAAAGAAAAGAAAAGTCAAGTATATCAATTATAAGTCTTGTGACTATTCACTTTATAGTTTACTAATAGTGTGCATTTTACAGGCCAGGATAATACAGAATAAATAAATATATAGGAGTAAAGAAAATCATAGTGATCATATAGAAATACGTTCATGAAATATAGTGAACCGTACAATCAATGTACATGACAGAGTTTATTTTAATACGAAGAATAAAGGGTTAGGATAAAACACATGGCTCAAGAGTTGAAAAGAAAATAATATCTTTATTCATTTGATTGGGACGAAGCATATTGGTGAACATTAGTAAAACGTAGAAGATGTAAATATGCCAGAGTTAGTAAAGATGCTCATTTACATCTGTTGTCCCCAGGCAGGTAAGAAAGAAAAGATAATGATAAAGAATGTGAGACTGATACACAGCAAATAATATATACAGATAGATATACACATACAAGAATAGAGAAAGAGACAAAACACACAATTAAAGGTGTTCACACTTCTGGTTTAGTAGTCCTCTTTAGTATTAGTATTGTTGCCAGTGCCATTTTTTCAATACAATTATTAAAAGGGAGGGAAGTCAACATAAAACCTTACACTTAGATAGAGGTGCAGAATCCCTCTGTGCAAACACAACCGGTAAAAACACTCATTCATCCCTCTGCCAGTTAAACTCATCGATGTGAATATGGACAGACAGAAACACGGTTGCAGCAGCTGAATTGAGCAGGCTCTCAGGGATTACCAGGCAACTTGTATTTGCACAAGCTAATGTTTTGCACATGTGCCCTATTTAATGTTTTTATTGTGTGTGTTTTGCGTTGAGGCAGCAATTCCCTGTATCCAAAACACTTAAAGTAACCTTGAACCTATTCATAAAACAAGCATACTTAAAAGGCATGCACTTT